CCCCGGCCCGGGGGGGTCGGGAAGGACAGGGGGGAGAGAGGGTGAGGGCGGGGGGGGGGTGAGGGAAGGAAAGGAGCGCTGTGAGTTTCCCATTCAGAGCCGAGACCTTCCTTCTGTTGATGTTTTGAACAGGTTTAATGAGAAGAGGATGGTGGTAGCTGCCTGACATCTCCATCACGTATTTTGCTTTCCAGTCTTCAGCAAGGCTTTCCAAAAGATGTTTTCAGCTCCGAGGATCAGCTTGGTCTCTGCGAGGTGACACGTCCTGCATCTGGCTGGCTAGCACACCACTCTGCCTGATTGTTCCCTTTCGAACTTCTTTTCTCAAAAATTTCAGACAACATCATCATTTCTATCTATGTGCGTCTTGCCCAATTTCCACATTATTTTTCCTCTTCATGCAGCACCCAAGAATTTCATAGGCAGTTTTTGCTGCAGTTGGCTTGCTGCTCTGGGGCAACATTGTTGTGCCAAAAGAGAACTGACCTATACGTCTCATTTTATTCTGGAGCCTGGGTGAGAGGTAATACTGAGTAAAGTATTTCTGCAGAAACTATTTAAGTCCTAAACATTTCCTGCAAGTGCATTATTACAATTATCACCAATATAAAATCCAGTGTTGCTGGCAGCCTAAAGCAGCTTCAGTCAGCTCTGAATGCTAGCAAAATGCAGTAGAGAGCAGCGGAGATGGGAAGGCCCCTCTGTCCCCAGAGGCAAAACCTTCCCTCCATCTCCCAGCCACAGAACATCATACTTCTGTTCAGTGCCACAGAAGGTTTCAGTCTGGACACACTGTAAATCTTAGTTTATTGGTAAAATAATTCGATTTTTTAAATGTAAATTTTTTAAATGTAAATTGTGGACTACACAATTTAAATAATAAAGACTGTTAGGAATTATCTGAAATGAATTAAAAGTTTAACTATATTCCATCACATTGCAGGAAATACGGCATGTGAAACAACCCTGTACTGGCAGAGAAATGTTTAGACAACATACTCCTCTTTTCCACGTCTGTCTTTATGGTTATGTTTCCAGTTCATCCACTGCCTCAAGCAAGCTTCATATTGCCATTAACAATGTACACGTGATACTTAATTAACATTTAGAATTTTAATTTTCTTAGCTTTGAGGAGGAACTGAAGGTTGGATCAGACACAATGAAAACATTTTCAAAAAGGTATTTAGTCATCAGACTCCCGAGGAAATGGAATAGAAGCCAGATACTTCTTTGTAATACCTTTGTAAATTTGGGCCTCAAACCAATTTTCCAAACAATCTGAACATACGTAAGTGTTAAATACTTTAGAAGAAGTGTGTCTGAAGAGCTGAAGTCTCCCTCTCTTGCAGTGAGATCAGGGCCCCAGTCCCAAGCCCTGGCTTGTAGGCAAGACCCTTCCATGCTGCCTCGGATGAATGTGGTTTAAACCAACCAACCAACCAACCAACCCTGACATTGACAGGGCTGACAGGATATGAAGTCATACATCATTTGACCAATTAACAAGATGCTGCAGCATACACTTTATTCAGTATTGTTGCAGTGCATTAAGACTACATCCATCGTTTAATATAGAAAACTACTATGGAGTAAGCTTACAATGCAATCTCAGTTACTCTGACTGTTTTCATGGACTTGAACTCAGTTTTCCTAGTTCCTTCGAGTGAGCTTTGGACACAGATTGATCTGCATGGTGAGGGTGCACTTGAATCCCAGAACAGAAAATCTGTACCTGAAGGCAGTGCAGAATAGCTCTTCTGGTTTTCCACTGTCACCTTGTTTTACTTCATATAAACGTCCTTGTGCTCACAAGGCTTTACACTCACTATGATTATAGCCAGTTGAGCCAAATTACTCTTCCAAGCTCAAGCTGCAGCACCCTAGAGCACTTCTTAGATTTGTACTTCACCCTGGAGCTGCTGAAGTCCCCTGCATCAGTAACAGTGTGTCTGTAAGGAAAGCCATGGGTGTGTGTTGAGCCAGCAAGACATGAACCAGGTCTGGTTCACAGTGACCCCATGTTGTGCCTGAGCTCATTAGCCTTACTGAAAGGCAGGTATATGCATTGGGGCATGGTGCTATGCTAGCAGCCTGATGTGATTCCCAGCACGATTAGGTTTTTTCCTGCATTTGGAGTTAGTTGCTTTTCCCCTCAGTATCACTCAATCTGCTGGGTATAGGGACATTGCAGACTAAGTGGGAAAATTGTCATCGATGGTAGTCCCCCTAAAATTTAGGATTTGTAATGATTAATCTTTATCTTCCTTCTTGTCTCAGACTGGAGTGCCTATGCAGAAGGATTTATCAACATAGAAAATTTGGGGCATGCACATTTGTTCTAATATAGCTGCATTACCAAGTCTGTACTCCTATTCTAGTACCGGGTAGTTTTTTGATTTACAATTTTTGATTTAGAATTAAGTCATAGCAAAGCATGCAGCTAACATGAGAGCTGTTACTAGTTTATTTCTCCTTGAGCAGAATTTGAATGCCCATGTAGAAAATCGTACCTTTCTAGCTATGTGTACAATAGTAGAGAAAA